CCTTGTCCCATTGAGGACACTCAGAGATGTAGTGGCATGTCTTCTTGCATTTTGGCATGTTCTCTTATTGTAGTCACGAGATGAAGCCTCATCATTCTTTGAGGTGGATCTTGAAGACTTGCTCAAGCGATTCTTCTTGGAGAACTTATGGAACTTCCTCACGAGCATTGAAAGCTCTTTGCCAATGTCTTCAGGATCACCAGAACTGCAGTCAGATTCTTCTTCAGATGAGGAAACGACCTTAGCCTTCAAAGCACAGGATCGGCCATAGTTGGGACCATAGATATCTCTTTTCTCAGATAGCTGGACTCATGTGTGTTGAGCCTCTCAAATATGTCAGATGGATCGAGATCTTTGAAGTCAGGACGCTCTTGTACCATCAGGGCCAAGGTGTTGAAGGAGTTGTCAAGTGATCTCAGAAGCTTCTTCACTATTTCATGCTTGGTGATCTCATGGGCACCAAGAGCGCGAAGCTCATTTGTGATATCAGTGAGGCGATCGAACGTGAGCTGGACATTCTCATTGTCATTCCTCTTGAAGCGGTTGAAGAGATTGTGAAGAACATCAATCCTTGAGTCTCTCTGAGTTGAGACACCTTCGTTGACCTTGGATAGACAGTCCCAGACCAGCTTCGCAGTTTCCAGTGCACTCACACGGCCATACTTCCCTTTGGTCAGATGACCACAGATGATGTTCTTGGCAGTTGAGTCCAGTTGCGCGAACCTCTTGACATCAGCAGCGGTGACGCCTTCACCAACCTTGGGAGCGCATGTCTTGATGACATACCAGAGGTCAATGTCAATGGTTTCAAGATGCATGCGCATCTTATTCTTCTAGTAGGGGTAATCAGTGCCATCGAAGACTGGGCACATAGTGGAGACCTTGATTATCCCTGCAGTTGACATAGCTAAAACTCCAGGTGGTTAAACCGAAACACACAGAACAAGGGAGCACCTTGCTCTGATACTAATTGAAAGTGCTAGTTATCGACTAGAGGGGGATGAATAGGCGATTTTTATGGAAGTCTTTAAAACATGATTGCTTTGAAGACAAACAGGTAATATGAACCTATATGATATGAGCGGAATGTAAACTACACCAGGCAAGCAATAGTCAAGCAAGCAATACAGTGAAAGCACGAAGACTGACAACGGCTAGGTAGAAAAGATTAGAATGGAAGACAGTATGAAGCCAGACAGTTACAAGTCTTCACACGGTGAAGTCAAATAGATCGGGCAGGCAAGCAATGACTTCATGAAGACAAACTAAAAAGTGAGGAGGGTATGGGATAGAACCAGTTGCTTGGTGAAGACAGGGATTTGGTAGCCCAGTTCCAGTTGTTGTGACAACTGTACGTCTGGTTAGGAAGGCTGAGATTGAACTCAGAAGACTGTGTCTTCACCTTATTCCCCTAGAGCTAAGGACACTTAGTCCTCGCCCTATCACTCAGGTAAGTCTTCAAGGTAGACTTCCAAACCTTCACAGACTCCATTCACGGGCAATCCACAATGACTCTTGGATCCTCAGATCGTGACGCCTAACCGGTTGGAGGATGCATAGTCCTCAAGTGTAACAAGTCTTCAGGTCACGCGGACAGAAAGACTTTAGTGATGCCTAACACTCTTTGGCTATGGGTGTTTTGGGCTTTGTCATCGCAAGGATCTCTCTCTCAAAAGCTTCAGAGGTGGATTGCTCTCAAACGACGGAAGTCGTGCACTAACTCTGAGCAGCCACCAATTTATGGTGTAGGGGTGGGCTATTTATAGCCAAGTGGCAACCCGGCCTCATATGTCCAAAATGACCCTGGGTCACTAAGGAACCAACACGTGTCCAACAGTCGGATTTCAAACACACGTGGCAGCTTGGCTTGGGCTACAAGCAAAGCTGACTCATCCAGCTCTGGATAAGATTTGCTCTCATTGTCTTCGCTCGAAGACATAGGATTTGGTTGAGCATCACTTCAGTCATCTGACTTTGTTTACTTGGACCCCACTTAAGAGTATGGTGGTTCCTATGACTCAAGAAGGAAGAAAAGAAAACTACGAAAGAAACTATGTCTTCGCACTCCATAGTCTTCAAGTGAATGTCTTCATCGTCATTATCTTCAACGTGAATGTCTTCACGAACCACCATTGTCTTCACACATTTTTAGGGGTCATCTCTGGTAGGTAAACCAAATCAATGAGGGACTACTACCTGTGTTATCCTGCAATTCTCACAAACACAATAGTCTCTCAACCACGTTTGTCGTCAATACTCCAAAACCAACTAGGGGTGGCACTAGATGCACTTACACTTATGCCCAGCGCTCTAGGGTTAACAGCTTGTATTAGGTCACCTTAGTCTGGAGGCGGGCGGCTACTGCAGGCGACGAGTATGGATTGGAAGTGGAAGAGGGAGAGGAGGGGGCAACAGCGACACAGATGGGAGGAAGAGGAGTGCAATGGGGCCGGATCTAGGGTTGCCTCGTCGTCCAGCTTACATAGCCAAATTTGGTTCCTCAGTGCAGCACCATGAATGCATCTACACCGAACCGGACAAGACACTCATCAAAGTTATAAGTCTTTATGCGGGCTCCGCCTGACATGGCGGACATGTACGTACGCGCCGGGAGCCCCATATCCATCCCGCATATGGGTTGGGTTTGCAGGGCAACAGACAACCCGGGCGTATAGAGCTAGTTTGAGGGGTCCGGTTGGGTGGCAATTTCATGAACGGGCAATCCGTCTAGGCGTATTGGGGGGATTTGAAGGGTCCAGTTGTAGATGCTCTTAGGAAGTAGGAAGAATAGCAACATAAAATTATTCCGACAAAAGACAAGCATGAACCATGTTACCATCATAGAATTGTCCGACCAAGCACGAACCCAAATAAATATGGAAGTGTCTCAAACTCGGCCAGATAGGATATAGTTTGGTCTGATTTACATGACATCAGCTGACATCATGTATTGTTGTTGTGACGCGTTTTCAGCTTGTCTATAGGCTCGGGCTAGTTTAGTGTCTATAGGCTAGTTGTTGGTTGGAATTGTGTAGTTTTTCTATTGGATTGGTCGCTACGCTACTTTTTTGTCTGAGTCGCCCATCTCCTTTTATTGTTGTGTCTATGTGCTGCAGGCAAACAAAAGAAAAAAGAAACTCACTAGATGGGCTTGTCACGTGATTTTGGACTGAAAAAAGAAGATCCATTAAGAAGCCAAATTGACCGAGTAGTAACAATAGTTAAAAAGAGAAACAAAAGAAATTGAAAAGGTGCAGACTGACTTGAAACGTGTACTTGCAACCTCATTTGAAAACATATACTCCCTCCGTTTCAAAATAGATGACCCAACTTTATACTAAAATTAGTATAAAATTGGGTCATCTATTTTGGAACAGAGGGGGTAGTTGTGAACCCATTTGAAACTTGTAGTTGCGTCCTAATTTAAAAACTTGCAGTTAGGACCCCACTTAAAAACTTTGAGTTGCCACCCATTTGAAAACTTGCAATTGCTACTTCACTGAAATACTTGCACTTACGCCCTCACTCGAAAACTTGAATGTACAACCCATTTAAAAACTTCTAGTTATGACCCCCACTTAGAAACTTGCAGTTGGGACCCATTTGAAAACTAGCAGTTGCAACCTCACTTACAAACTTGCAGTTGTGACCCAATTTAAAAACTTGTGGCTGCCGACCTGACTTGAAAAGTTGCAGTCACTATCCCACTTAAATCGGCTGCGACCCGACTTGAAAACTTGCAGCCGGTACCCCACTTTAAAAATTGCGGTTTGCAGTTATTACCCCACTTGAAAACTTGCAGGTACGACTTCACTTGAAAAATTGCAGTTTGCAGTTGCGGCCCAATTGAGTCTTTTTTAAAACTTACAGTGTGGCCCAATTTAAAAATAAATAAAAACTTACAATTGCAACCCATTGTGATCAGTTTGATATTGCAGCCCAACTTGAAAAGTTGCAGTTGTGAACCCGCTTAAAAACTTGCAGTTACGACTTGAAAAACACTTTGGCCACATAATTTTTTTGACTATGTAAGCTTAATTGCTGATAGGAACTTCACGTGCCAACCAAATAAAATAGAAAAATAAATAAATGTAATGAAATGAATGGATAGAAAAAATAACTAAGAAACAATGCATGGAAAAAGAACAAAATCATTTGAAAATAAAATTATTAATAATAATAGAAATAACAAAGCAAACAATGAAAAGAAAAATAGAAACGGTGTGGAAAAAGCAAAAATGAAAACGCAAGTTCTTTTTAGTAAATGACCCTCACGTAGAAACAACCAGATCAAAAGAAAAAAAATCAGCGACATAGCACATAACCCAACAAGCATCGAGAGAAACAGATAAAGTCGTGGAGGTGAAGATATAAGAAAAACTCAGCTCGACACAAAAGAAAACTAGCAAGTCCAAATAAATATGCTTTATCAATTTAATACTCTTATATGTACGAAGAGACTCCCCGCATAGGGAACACGCTGAAAGAGTCCCATTTCACTTCTCCACTTACAACACAAACTGATCTCGCCAACAGCTCGCTGTTAATGTCAACATGCGAAGTCTATCTACATTCATCAGCGAAAGATTCAGGATAGCCAGAATACAGTGCCAGAATGACTGCTTCATTCCAAGATATCAACAACTGCAGCTCATAGGTAGCCAGGAAGGGTTGTCGTCCGCCAACCTCTTTTGAGATTACTCACCTCTTTTGAGATTACTCACCGACCTTGAGCAATGAGAAGGAACTGAGGCAATTTCTTTGTGATTACCCGCCGACCTTGAGCAACAAGGCGGCACTGAAAAAGGCGGCAGCACATTCAGAATGTCAGTGATTCAATTACGAATCTGAATAACTCAAATTCAAATTGCATCGACTTGGGAGTGCTTCAGTAATGTCACAAAGTGTTCTTTAAAGTGGGAAGAAGACAATCAAAATTGATAACAAAACGAAGTTCAAAAGAGAACAACAAACCTGACATAGTGACATTCCCTCAGTCTTCATGCTAATCCAGTTTCAGCTTTCTTAATTTCAAATATAAGTTCCGTCCAAAACGAGATAACAAACTTTTCTGCAGAATCATCCATAAGAGATACAAGGGCCTCCAACATTCTAGGTGCATCTACATGCTCTTTGGTTGATGCAACAACATACTCAACAAACTCTGCTATTTCCTCGCCGAAAACTTCAATCGACTTCTCTGAAACCCAATGCCTCATTCTCTCATGCAATCCATGCTGCAAGAAAAAAAGTGTATTTGATGGTATAAGAATGAGATGGGAGTTCATATTTAAAACACGGTCTGCAAGGCAACAAATTGACTGGTTCTCATTTCGAGTTTGCCTAATTCAGACATCTTTTTCAAGTATGGAAATTTAAAATGGAAAAAGGTAGATAATTCTGTTTCACCTTATCATAAATTGCCCAATTAACATCATAAGCAAATAGTTCTTCCTTCGTCTTAGGGATAGCAGCAAGCAACTGTTCTGCATCCAAAGTTTCCTTGTTCCCTAACTTGGATGTAGCTTGCAATTCAGAATTCCCCTTTTCTCCTGGGGCACTGCTGTTCAGCTTATCTGAGACTAGCACTTGTACAGATACAATGCCCTTACCTTCACCATTGCTCTTATGAAACCCATCTACTGTCCAACGAAGCAAGACCAAAGTCAACTTCAAGGTAGCTACACTATGGAGAAGGTATTGTAAATTAAGAAACGAAAAATACACTCACTTTCCCTGCGCTGACGTTTCCTCTCGTGTTCAATTGTAGATTCAGGCTCCATGGGAACATACATTGATGATATTGCATCAATTTGCAGAGAAGGCTTTCCAGCTGAAATCACTTCTTTATCTTTCCAACCTTGCAAACAAACAACTTTACTTTCCCCTAAATGTTCCTCTTTTTCACGTTGTCTCTTGCTTGTCCTTTCCTCCAGTGCACCACTCCTTGTATGACCATCGCCTTTCTCATCACTCATGCTTGTAGATGCCTGAACAGACTGAATTGGTGAACCCGGAAATTTACACCTCATTCTCTCTTCAACCATACTGTGTATCGTTTGCATAGCAGCCATATCAGTTTCATTGGCCTTCTCTTCTGTAGTATTCTCACAGTATTTCTGAAGGTGCTGTCTCGTGGCTTCATTGACATTAACCTGTTTAAACCCAAAAATAAGCATGGATCAGAACAGAATAAGCATTTCACAAGATTGAACCCCGGGGTGTGCAGACGGAAGCTTTACTTTTCTAATGTTCAGGCAAAAATTTGCAAAAGAAATTGAAAAGGTTTATTTTTTTCAAATGCAGGTTCTCCTACGCCATTAGCTTTATACAAAAATATTCCAAAGGTGGCCAATTCCTCATTAAGAAAGAAGAGCATAGAAATATTAATGCTTGTAATGAAAGCTGCAAAGTCACAGTTGATTTCTAAGCACGATAACATCAACGGAAGCAACTTTACAAGGATAACTTCCTTTTATAGACAACCCACTGTAATCAATAAAATACTAAGATGATTTCTCAAATATTATCAGAACTTTGAATATTATATGATTTACACTACAAATGTTTTAAACAACAATGCGGAAGAATAGAGATCATTATTAGTTCTGTCAAGCCAATAAACCATCATTCACTATTAATTAATTAATTTAGTCTAACAAAACTTTCCACCGATGCCACTAGTTTCAAAGCAAATTCAGTTTTTAAGACCTTCTAAGAGCACTATCATTCCCGTTAGGTCCAATTACGCACATGCCACCCCGCCATCCATTTAACAACTAGCGCGACATGAAATAATCAAAATACCCTTAGGTCCCCACATGGCAGAGCCATCTCTCCACTCACTGGTGCATGGTCCCCACTACTCCACCCGAATTCCCCAAGTCATCATGGCTCACAATGGCAGAGCCACCTCTAGGTGACCCAAGGCGGCTACCCAGGCTTGACCCACAAGCCTCTATTGAAAAGACATGCGTATTAGAGCTTGGTAATGATGATTTTATAGGCAGATTTTCATTGACCTAGAAGCAGTTAGGCTTTGCCCAAGCTCCCGCGACTGCCGGCTCCGCCACTGATCACATGGATGTGGGACTATTCACCCAATTCAATTGTTGAATTTATACTGATGTTAGCACAATATTTTTCAAAATGATGTAAATCCACAAGAGATATGTGATGTACTACAAAAATCATAAAATAAATTGCCAATTCAATAATAACATATCTAACTAGGGCCAACTCCTTTCCAAGAAATCATATATCTTAGTCTGTACATTTATCTATGGATGTTGCAAGCATAAATGACATGTAGACCAGTACATACCAACAGCTCTTGACCATCAATTCTTAGTTTGTTGAGCAACCGCCATGCACGAAGACTGCCTTCGGCAGATTCAAAATCACAAAAGCCAAACCCAGTAGGAGTTCCATCAATTGGATTTGTGACTGGATTCCAACTTTTTACAATTCCACAGACCTGTAGCAAAAATAAGGCACATATACACATCACTATCTACTCCATTATTCCAAAGCATATGTCATCTAATGCTTCACAGCTTTTCCTTTTATAAACTCCAATTAACTAGCTTTTATCTATAATAAATATTATGTAACATGCTTTGCCAGAATCTAATAGGTCGATACAATCTTAAGAGATCAACTTATGAGCTAGGTTGTAAGTACTATAAGTTCACAAGAGGCAAATTTAACAATATACCTGAAGAAGAGAAAGAACAAAATCATTGTCCACTGTTGATGCAATCTTGCCAACATATACTTTAAATTGTGGCTCATTAACTGGAGGAACAGGTGCGATATGAGGTCTAGTCACAGCTCCAGGACCAAAATCAGTAGCTGGAGGAACAGGTGTCATAGGTGGTCTAGTCACGGCTCCATGACCAAAGACGTTAGCTGGAGGAACAGGCGCAATAGGTGGTCTAGTCACAGCTCCATGACCAAAAACGTTAGCTGGAG